ATAAGACGCACCTAGCTTTTGGAAAATAAAACAAGAAAAAAAAAAATCTGCTTCCCAGCAATTTGCCTCCTTGCAGTAAACAGCCTGTTTCAGTTTCAGTTTAGCCTGATTAGCACAAGAAAAAAAAATCTGCCTTTAGCAATGTTTATACTAGAGTAGGTCTTTTGTGAGGTTTGTAAATGTGTTAATCAAGGTATTTGTTCTAGTGGACTTCAGAGGGAAACATGCCTTCTGAGTATGTTAATTCCTTTTTTCTTGAGCGTATTTTATGTGTGGAATTTGGTGGTGTCACATTAGATAATTTAGAGGTTTCACTTCATTGTAGAATTTGTTTTTAATTTACTATATTTTTGGAGTATAAGATGCACTTCTCCCCCTAAAAGAGAGTGAAAATTTAGGTGTGTCTTATACACCAAACGTAGTCTCGCCCATCTGCCACCCTTTGGCCTCTGTCTCCCAGCAATTTGTCTCCTTTCAGCAAACAGCCTGTTTCAGTTTCAATTTCAGCACAGTCTGATTAGCACGAGCAGCTGATTCTTGGCTGGATCGTCCTCCCAACAATAAGCTATTTCAGGCTGCAGGGATTGCCTTAGCCTATTGCTGCTTCCGCACCCCCCCTCCATTTTCAGCCTCTGCATGCCCCATTTTTGGCCTCTGCATGTCCCATTTTCCACCCATTCTGGGCAGCGGGGATCGGAATGGGCAGAAAATGGGGTGCATGGAGGCCAAAAATGGGGCACGTGGAGGCAATAGGCAATGGCAATCCTTGCATCCTGAAACAGCTGATGGTCAGGAGGCAGATCCAACCCACAATCAGCTGCTTGTGATAGTCAAGCTGTGCTGAAGCTGAAACTGAAACAGGCTGTTTGCTGCAAAGAGACAAATTGCTGGGAGACAGAGGCCAAGGGGGAGGCAGATGGGCGAGACTACATTTGGTGTATAAGACGCACCTAAATTTTCACTCTCGTTTAGGAAGGAAAAAGTGCATCTTATACTCTGAAAAATACGGTAAATTAAAAACAAATTCTACAATGAAGTGTAACCTCTAAATTATCTAATGTGACACTACTATTTCTGTTGAGATCCATTACCAGTTCTGTGTATAGGGCGGCTATATGGCTGTCTGGAAAACACAGGCCCAGAGATAGATGCTAACAAAAACATTCTTGTTAGCAATAAAAAGTTTTCCTGTTAATTAGCGTACCACTCTGTACTAGTTTATTTAGCAGTTAACACCTCAAAGGAATGCAGGAATGCGAGCTGCTAGCTTTCCCCCACTCTCCCCATCTCTTTACTTCCCTCCCTTCTCATCTTCTCCTGTCCAAGGACAAGCAGCCCNCATTTTACAGGAGTACAGTAGACACCATTTTACAGCAGTACAGTAGAAGCCATTTTAAGGCACAATAGGCTGTATTGTAACAGAACACTCTGCGAGGGGTGATAGGAGTGTCTTACCCCCACAGTATTTGTTTCCAAAGAGTAAGTTATCTGTGTACAAAGTTAGGTTGAAATTACTTGAGGTGTTCCAGAGTTATGCTGGAACACACACAAACACACACACACACACACACACACACACACACACACACACCTGAACAAAAGGAGATTGACAAGGAAGTCATGAATTTTTGGGAGGTGGGAATGTTGCTGTTCCTAGGAGTTAATTATTATACTGTAAACAAGTTTGAAAGTTTGAATATTGAAAAGATCAAATTAGATAAGGCTCTTTTCCTGGATTATTTCCATTTTAGTTTAATCTCTTCCTGGAACCCTCTGAGTTTTGCAATATTTCCCATGAGAAACTGTACTTGGAGAAGAATGGAGACATAGGAGCTGATCTGAACATCATGAGGTCGATGGTTTATCATAATGAAGTGAATGTGCAAGTGGGGAGTATTGAAAGGCAAAGACTTATCATCAACCAGGATTCTCTCTCATGGCTGAAGCTGAAGAAGGTCTGGGAAATGATGGTGTCTTTTCCCTGTTTAGCATTGTCTAAAAAAATGTAGAGGACACAGATGTTCAGGATCTATTTCAGTTCAAAAGACTGGTCCCCATGTTAGATGACTTACATTCATTACTGAATGTGGGAATGAATCTCTACTGTTTTTTTTTTAGACTTCTTAGAGGTTTCAGTACTATTGATCAAGTGTCTTTCAGAACTGCCTGGAAGGTGAGGTAGTTTGCATTACTGTTTTACATGGATTCAGTTATATCCGGCATGCACATAGATGATAGTTCAGTTGTGCCTCTTCTACCATTTATTTTCTCCATTCAACTGCCAGGGGAGGTCATCAGAAACTGGGAACAGCAGTGCTGATAGTATCAAGTTATCCTATACATTCCTCTCAAATGCTAAAGAAGCATTTGACCAGTGCTCAAGTTCAATTTTGGAACAGCAGTCCTTGAACAGAAAAGATCTTATCTTGGAGGCCTTTTTCAATACAGGATCATCCTCATATTCCACTTGTCGCAGCAAAAGAGGACTTTATTAGCCCTTTTTGAAGGATGTATTCTTATGAATTTTCCTCTAGCTCATATAACTCCTAGCCTCAGAGCCAAACAGAAATCTTTAGTAACTACTGCCCAGGCAATCATGGAGTCATTTTGACTTTCCTTATTTGCTCGGGAATATCAATATCTTACAGTAGAATAGAATAGAATAGAATTAGAGCAGAGCAGAGCAAGGCAGAAAATGAATATACTAGACTAGACTGGAATAGAGTAGAATAGAATAGAGTAGAACAAAGCAGAGCAGGGCAGAAAATGAATATACTCGACTAGACTGGAATAGAATAGAAGAGAGCAGGAAATGAATAGACTAGACTAGACTGCAATACAATAGAAGAGAGCAGGAAATGAATAGACTAGAATGGACTGGACTAGACTTGACTTGACTAAAATATTTTAGTGGCCAAGTGTGATTGGACACATAAGGAATTTATCTCTGGTGCATATAAACATACAAACTTGGAAGGTTAATATCCTTCATGCATAAGGAAAATATCCTTTGCAAACCACTTGAGAAGCCTCAGCCAAGTGAGATGATGAAAATCTATTACATATCTCTATGTCCTTTTTAAAAATAGAAATGTAATCCTAAAACATTTTCTTTGGTATTCCTTGTTGTTGTTGTTTTGCTTAGCCTCTACCTCAATCTAGATGTGTAGAAAATTGTCATCCTGGATTTGTGAAGCATGCTCAAGAAGGAGAGCCAGTTTGTTGCTATGACTGTGTTCTGTGTCCAGAGGGCACTATCTCCACTCAGGAAGGTGGGTAACATCAGAAGAAAAGCAGGTGTTGTAAAAATGGATCAATCAGAGCATTTTAATAACTTGAAAATTCTTCTGCTATCAACTCTTGTCCAAAGAAAGTATTTCTTGAACTGTAAAAGGAGGGATGTTAAATATTGTTTTTCATTTTCACAGATACAGAAAAATGCACCAAGTGTCTGGATGATAAATATCCAAATGAGGACCAAGTCCAATGTATCCCCAAAGTTCTAACCTTCTTGTCTTATGAAGAACATCTAGGCATCATCCTGGTCTCCTTTTCCTTAATCTTATTCCTAATCACTGTCCTTGTTTTAATCATATTCATTAAATACCGAGAAACTCCCATTGTCAAAGGCAACAACCGGGACCTCTCTTACATCCTCCTGGTCTCCCTCCAGCTTTGCTTTTTGTCTTCTTTTCTCTTCATTGGTCAACCAAGGAAAACCACCTGCTTTCTACGACAAACAGTGTTCAGCATTGTCTTCTCAATAGCTGTGTCTTCTGTATTGGCCAAAACAATTACAGTGGTATTGGCATTCCTGGCCTCAAAACCAGGGAACAGGATGAGAAGGTGGCTGGGGAAGAGCTTGGCCAACTCAATCATCCTTTCTGGCTCTGGTGTTCAAATTTTCATCTGTGCCCTCTGGCTGGGAATTTCTCCCCCATTCCCTGACTCTGACATGCACTCCCAGCCTGGAGAGATCATCCTTCAATGCAATGAAGGCTCCGTTGTTATGTTTTATGTCGTCCTTGGCTATATGTGTTTCTT